CTGTGGCCCCGGTGCAGCCCCTGCCCTGCGCCCCGCGGGAAGGCGCCGTCCGTCACGGCAAACACCCGGTGCCCGCTCACCGCGGTGCCGTGCTTGCCGGAGTGCCGTGCAGCGGGAAGTCTACGCTAATGTGCATGTAAAACATACAGCGATCTGTTGAGGAAATGACTTGGAAAAACCCAAACAAATGAAAAAACCCACCAAAACGGTCAGCCAGCAGAGAGCTTTTTGGAACAGTGGCTTTTTTAAAAGAGAAATACTGAATGATATGCAAACTACCTTTCTATAATAGCCGGTTGTTTTGCATGCTTACCTTATCATCAGAGTTAAGACAGCTTTTAAGAAGTGATTAAGTTCCAAGTTGCACATGATTAAATGCCAAGCTTCAAAACAAGACAATGCAAAATTAAGTCCCCATCTTGTAGGGAAGTGATGAATTTATGGGTTGTTACACACAAAAAACTTGTAACTGGTCTTCATAACCAGTGATACAACTGTTCTTGCCCAACTAATCGGCAGCAGAAGCAACATTTGTCTGTGTGTAGAGTGATGGCCACACTTGTGAACCTGTTGGTGTTCTTGTCAGGTAATCTCTACAGCAGGCACATCCAGATCGATGGAGAGATGTTGGCTATTCAAGTGCAAGATACTCCAGGAGTTCAGGTGAGCTGGGTGCAGCCAAGCAGTTCACCACAGCAGCTCTAAATCTGTGTGTGTGAGTCCTTCTGCAGCATCTTCTTGTGGTCCATTTCAGAGTCTGGTGTTCTGTGTGGGAGAGTTGGTAACTTCTGCTATAACCAGTGAAGCCAGCTGGGTTGTGTGCCTGTGGTATGCTGGCAGTGAAAGAAAACAACTCACTGTTTTGGTGAATCAGTTGTACATTGGAGACCCATTACGATCGAGTGGCTGAATTACTTAAGTGTCTTGTTCCTGTATTTTGGGAACATTAGACACAAACCCAGAAACAATTCTGTGCAAATAAGGTACATGTGGAAGAAAATGTCATGACCACTGCCCAATAAGCTTCCAAAGTGTGTATGGTAGAAAGCAAAGTCTGCTACTTGTGGCTGTGCTCATTAGTGTGTCACAAGTTAAAGTTCTGAATGTATAGACCTGAGTAATGCTGGATTGTTGCCTTTTTAAACTGGGCAACACTCCAGGTCTAAATGCTTCCAGCTCATATCTTTGCTTCCCCAGACTTACTGTCTAGCCAGTTAATTTCCCATTCTGTGGAACTACAAAGTCTTTCTCTGCATGCAAAACTACTCAGGTCAATTTTCCATTTGAGTATAGCAAACTCCAGTGTTGAAATTCCAGCCTTTTGCAGCTGAATCAACATATGCATTTATTGGCCATGCTCAGATTAAGTTTGTACCTAGAATGTCCAAGGCAAATATATATGTCTGAAACTGTAAAATGCTATTTGCCTTTAGAGACACTTAAAGACCATGTTCCTTTCATCTTTTGTGACTTCAACTATCTAATTTGAGACCATTCATCTTTCAGATCCATGAACACAGTCTGGATTGTAATGAGCAGCTGAACAGATGCATTCGCTGGGCAGATGCCCTGGTAATTGTTTTCTCCATCACAGACTATAAGAGCTACGAACTACTCAGTCACCTTTACCATCACGTTCGACAGCTGCATCCAGGAAACGCAGTCCCTGTTGTCATCATCGCAAACAAAGCTGATCTGCTGCATATCAAAGAGGTGGAGCCTCAGCATGGACTTCAGCTGGCCAACATGCTGGGCTGTACTTTCTACGAAGTATCTGTCAGTGAAAACTATAATGACGTCTTCAATGCCTTCCATCTCCTCTGTAAAGAAGTCAGTAAACAGCAAACAACCAGCACCCCTGAGAGGAGGAGAACCTCTCTTATTCCACGGCCAAAATCACCCAACATGCAGGATCTGAAAAGAAGGTTTAAGCAAGCTTTGTCTGCCAAAGTGAGGACTGTCACTTCTGTTTGACAGCAGAGCCACTGGTCTTCCCAACATTTAACTTGAGATTGAAACCTTGGGTATTTAACATTGGCACCTCTAGAGTCTGAGGCATTGTGAAAGGAGGGTGGTTCAGGTAGCCTTTTGCATGGCTGTAGAAACCAGCAGTTGCTTAAAAAAGGAACAGTGGCAGATTGGAAAAGGAAAAAAACCCAGAACTCTTGAAATGGTTCTATGATGTGACTTGTAGAACAAGTATTTTTATTAGGAAAATGAACTTTTCAGTTTGCCTTGTCTCCAATTGGACAGATTTGGCTTTCATTTATGCAGAAACAACCTTTTAGCTGTAACTCTCAACTTGTACTTGAGCAGGGACACACCCTGAACTGCAGTTCACTGTTAAGAAGTAACCACTTAAGTCTTGTTTTCATCTGGATGAAGGACAGCATGATGTCCTACTGTTTAATTTTATTGCACAGTAAAACTGTTTTATTCCCTATGTATTTCAAAACAAATAAGCAAACATGAAATAGTTCTGTAAAAATAAGTTGACTAGGTATCAAGACTGTAAACAATGGTCCTTTATTTTTTTACTAGCTATGTTATTGTTGACAACTTGACCAGACTCTTTTTATGATAAACTATTGGCCACAGGGTGTAAACATATCTAATTACAAATAACTTGTGGGGGTTTTTTTACTGCCTGAAAAAAACCAAACAACAAAAACCCCCAAAACTGTCTGGGCTAAATGATCCAGTATGGAGCTTTTGAAGGATGAGTGTGGAATTGGAGTGATAGTTCATTATGGCTGCCAGTCCATGACACTTCTCTTTCTCTCCGTCTCCCCTCCCTCCCTCCTGTGTGCAATAGGCACAGAGGAATGTGGCTGTGATTCAGCTCGGTGTGAAGCATGGCTGGCTCCAGGCAATGAAGCTGGTGGCTTTTTCTGAGCTGAGCCAGTCCCTCTTCATCCTTAAACATGTGGCAGATTTATATATATATATATATA